CACAGTGGACCGCCTGTGCTTGTGTGTGGTGACGCCCGTCATGGTGATAGGCACAGCCTGGATCTTCCTGCAGGGCATCTACAACCAGCCTCCACCCCAGCCTTTCCCCGGGGACCCCTTCTCTTATGACCTGCAGGACAAGCGCTTCATCTAGGGTGGCCCCGCTGGGCAGCGTTGTGGACAGTGAGTCAGAGAGGAGAGGCCAGCTCAAGCCCTGGGCTGTATCTGCTTGTCCTACGAGGCTGGGGCCAAGGTCAAGGCAAAGCCCGGATCAGCTCCGGCTCAAGAGCAGGAGCCACCTATGTGGGCTGAAGGTAGAGTAGGCTGGAGGGTTTGGGGAGAGGAGGAGGCTTGCTCAGGGACCAAGGATGGTGTCACTGCAGCCAGCCTCATGGAGAGAGTGCCGTGAGGGTCCCACAGACGGTGCCCTTCTCCGCCTTCCCTCCCCAAGGGGGCAGAGCAGGCAGGACTCTGGGCCTGTGCTCCCGGCTCCCCCTGCTCCCCCACCTTCAGCTTGGGCTTCTGAAGGCCCAGCTGGGGCTGAGGGTGGGTGTCTTCCTCTCTCCCAGGCCTGGGGAAGGAGGTCTTCTGCAGGGTGGGAGCAGCAGGGTCCAGTGTGATTTTTCTAGTCCTTTCTGCTGTAGGTGCTGTGGGTCTCTCCGGGAAGCCAGGGGCTGGTGTCAGAGGGCTGGGCTTGGCATCCACCAGGGTCCTGGTCTTCCTGAGGTCCCATGTATAACCCTAGAGCGCTAGATCTCGGACCCCCTGGAATGCGTGTCACCCTGAGTGCTGCTCCTCCTCCCCACAGTAGGGTTGCCAGGCAATCTTTGGGACATACTCACTCTAAGCAATGATTCATTCTTATCTGAAATTCATATCTAACCAGGCAACCTGTATTTGTATTTGCTAAATGTGTCAGTCCTCTCCCAAAGGGAGCCCCACTGCCTCCTATCCCAAGGGCCAAAGGCTGATGCTGTAGGAACCCTAGTCGTGGGTCTGTGGTTGGCCCACCTCCAAGATAGTCCAGTGACCCCTACCTCCTGGCATTCACACCCTGTGCAGTCCGGTCCACCCGGAAGCTGGCTGGTGTGTGTCACCAACAGAATGAGGCAGAGGTGATGGTAGGTCACTTCTGGGATAAGGTCATAAAAGGCACAGCCAGTCCCGATCACACACAGTAACTCACTCTGGGGAGCCATCTGGGAAGCTGAGGCCCTGTGGAGATGCCCACATGGCAGAGAACAGAGACCTCCAGCCGACAGCCACTGAGTGAACTTGGAAGTGGATCTTCTTGCCCCAGTGGAGCCTCCAGATATCACAGCCCCTGAAAGCCCCTGAGCCAGCTGATTCCAAACACTCCAAAACAGTGTGCAATAATAAATGTTTGTTGTCGTAGGTGACAGAGTTTGGGATAATTTGTTACACAAGGAGTGTGACCTTGACAGAGCTGCAACTCAGCTCTTAGCCTCAGTTTTCTCATCTGTAAAATGTGTGTGTAGTAAGTCCCACACCTGGGTGTTGGGAAAGTTGAATTGGCTAGTAGGGGTGTTTATATTCATTTGTGGGCCTCAGGGGGCTTCCGTGAGAGGACTGTACCCAGGTCTCGGGCATCCAAGCCTGGCACAGTGACAGGGAGAGGACAGGAAGGTACAGTGGGCCGATTATTCACCCCTTTATGTACAGGCTTTGGGTTGTCAGGGCTCAAGCCATCTCCCTCAGAGGAGACTGGTGACCTCAGCAGGCCACAGGTGAGCGTCTCCATCTTTAGCTGTGACCCTTGAAAGCCAAAGCTGACTCTATTTACTTCTGCCTTCCACAAATTCAAGGTGCAAAACTTCATTTTCTCTGAATAAGAAAACCAGTTTAAACTCACACAGGTCAGCCAAGCAGGAAGTCCAGGCCTTCCCCAGAATCATCCAACAATTCAGGGAGGATCCCCGATTCCTGCACAGAGAGGGCCCGAATCCAGGGAAATGCAGTTCTTCCCATGGCCACACGGTGGCGCGGTTAGCAGTGGGTCTTGGTCTAGCCCCCAGGTGTCTTCGGCTGGGTCACCTGCTCAGATTACTGTGGACCTTCAACAGAAGACAACTCCAAAATGCCACACAAGAGTCTCAGAGGTGGGAGGGGCCATTGGCTTTGGACTCCAGGGGAAGTGGGTTTCACAGACAGATGCTCAGTGAGAACAAAGCCCATCGGGAGGCTGAGGCAGGAGGCTGAGTTCTAGGCCCACTGCGTCACTTAGTGAGACCCTGTCTCAAAATAAAGGATGCCTTTTGTACCATTTTCACCGGCAGCATCCGCTTTCCCAGTGCTGACCGGTCCACCCTGGTTGACATGGTACTTACCTCCTTCCCTGCCAGGAAGTCACACTCAGGGGAAGCTTCTCTGGAAGCCAAAGGGTGTCCCTGTTCTCTCTCCAGAGCTTTAAAAAAATAAGCTTTCCTCCTTCTCACCTAATAGAAGTCCAGGGGGCAGTGGTGGCTGCATTGCCTCAGCAGTTCAACAAAGCTATCCGGGACTCAGGCTCCCATCTCTATAGCACATGGGCCCTGTTCCTTGTGCTTGTTGCCTCAGATGCAAGCTGTCTGCCACAGCTCCACACTCCACATCAATGTTTAGGCAGCGAAACGGCCAGACATTTCTGACTCCTTTTATCATGAAGCAGTGTTCATCATGAAGTGCCACAGCATCCTGTTGGTCTGGTCAAAATATCACGTGGCTACCACTATTCTGCAAGGGAGCCTGGGAAATAAGTACAGCGCCCCTCCATGACCATCACCATGGGTGTGGCATCTGTGGATTCAACCAGCCAAGGGCTGAAAATATTTAGGACAAAAAATCCTGTCTATACTATATACACACAGACTTTTTTCCTTGTCACTCCTTAAACAATACAGAGTAACAATATTTGCACATCACTCATCCTGTATGAGGTGTTACGAGCAATCTAGGGATGATGAAAGCACCCTGGAGGACCACCTGGGTTATGTGTGAATAGTGCACCACTGTACATGAGTGCAGGGAGCAGTGGCAGATTTGGTGTCCAGGGGAGTCCTGCCTGGGGGGACCAAGGCGCGATTCCAGTTTTCCATCCTCTGTAATAGGAGGTGGGAAAGGATAAGGGGCAGTGAGCATGCCCACTGGTGATCTTCTCCTAGTGGACCCTGCCCTTCACACCTGACCCCACCCCCCTGTCTCCCAACCCCTGGTGGCTGCCCCTCACAGAGGACTCACCATCCTAAGAGCCAAGGCCTTCTCAGCCTTCTCCTCCAGAGCAGAGAGGGCACAAAGCAGGAGATGCAGCACCATCCTGCCTGGGTGAGATCCAGTCTCCATGCCGGTCCCTCCCAGACACTGTGGGGAAAGAAAAGGACAGTGGGACAGCATCTGCCTGGCTCCTGCACCTCAGCACTGCTTCCTGACCACAGAGGCTGCTGATGGTCTTTGGCGAAGGTGGGCTTGGAGGGGAGCAGAGGGGTGGGGGTACTGCTCTGCAGAAGAGGTGAGAAATTGAGTCTGAGGTCTGGGGAGGCAACAGGGAGAGGCAAGAGGTCTCAGAGGTGGGAGGGGCCATTGGCTTTGGACTCCAGGGGAAGTGGGTTTCACAGACAGATGCTCAGTGAGAACAAAGCCCATCGGGAGGCTGAGGCAGGAGGCTGAGTTCTAGGCCCGCTGCGCCACTTAGTGAGACTCTAACTCAGAATAAAATTTGAAGGTCTGTGAATGTAGCTCAGTGGAAACGTGCCCCTGGGCTAAATCCCCAGAACACCCTCCCCTCCTGACACACATACAAGAAAGAAAGAAAAAAGGGGAAGAAACTGGAGGGCCAGGAGCAGCTGTGACCACAGGGACAGCTGAAGGGCTGCCCATAGGTAACGTGGTGGCGAAGCAAGTCAGGCCCAAGGTGGCTGGGAGGACGGTACTGTCACCACCATCCCCCATCCCCTGGACCTGGCAGCACAGCAGGGACCCGAGGCCCTGGGCGCTGGGTTCTGAGCCAGCCTCCCAGGTCGCCAGGTTGGGCCTCATGTCCGGATTGCCAGCACACTAAAGTGCCACAGGCAACATCCGGCACCTGAAGGCCTCCGTTGCCCTGTCCCCCAGAACCAGGAGCAGCTTGAAGTGTGGTGGCACTTGTGGGCTCCTGGACTTTCCTTCTTGCCCTTACGCTGAGACATGCGGACCCCTCTGCTTGAAATAGGTGGCCACAGGCAGGGGCTGGAGCAAGGCTGCAGGCTCAGCCCTGCCCTTTCCCAGCCACAAACCACAGAGTAGGTGGGGCTCCTTTCTCACCCTCTTTCCCCTCTGGGTCCGCTCATCTGGCTTCGGGGAATATGAGCTCCATTTCTGTCTGCCACCTCAGTGGACCATGAGTTCTTACAAGTCGCTGGGACATACCCCAGGGTCTCCCCAGCCTCATGCTATGCCGGCCACCACAGGAGCCTCCACAGCCTGTTGGGTGTTTTAATAAGGGCTGAGCTCCACTGAGGAGCCCCTGCTCAGAGCCCCGAGCTCCAGATCCTTCTTGGCCCTCCAATTTTACAGCTTGCCAGGTCTGTGTCCCTGTCTCAGGGCACAGAGGACCTGAGGATGGCCTACTATGCCAAAGCATCTTTCTCCTGGGCGCTTCACCCTGTCTGCTCTCAGTGTCTCAGAGCAGTGGAGTGGCCCACGAAGATGTCAGGCTGGTGGCAGAGATCTGGGGTTCTCCAGCCTATCACAGAGAACCTCGTGTACAAACCATGCCTGCCCCACCGCCTCCACCTCGCCTCTCCCCAGATCCTGCTTCTCTCCCACACCCATCTCTTCTTGGTCTGTCCTGAACCCCACCTGGGAAATGGGGTTGGGTTGGGTCCTCTGTGTTTGAGGGTGGAGATGGGGTGCTCATCTCTGTTGGGACAGAAAGCCCCTCCCCATCTGGGGGCCCAGGTAACCTGAGCCCAGCATTGTGTGCATCCTGGGACAGCTGACAATGCTGTGGTCAGACAGCTGGTGGAGCGGGTGGGAGTGCAGGCTGTCACATGACACCCCGTCCATCTCTCCCTCCCTCCCTCCTTCCACCCTGGACTTGGGGAGTTGCTGTCCCATCCCTGTCTCTGGAGAGAGCCGAGGCACCATGCACGGAGGTCGGGGGCTGCTGTTCCTCCTGCCACTGCTGGCTGTCCACATGGGTAGATGGGGGAATCTGGGTCTGGGGGGCCCAGAGCAGGGGCCCAAGCCTCAGGGCACAGAGGCTCTGGGGGGCTGCTGAAGTTCCTGCCGTCTGTTGCAGGGGCCCAGGGCTGGAACCAGGAGGCGCGCCTGCTTGCTGACCTGATGCACAGCTACGACCCCCACCTGCGGCCCGCAGAGCGGGACTCTGATGTCGTCAATGTCAGCCTGAAGCTCACCCTCACCAACCTCATCTCCCTGGTGAGTTGAGGGAGGGAAGAGGGGCTGTCACCAGGCCCTGGGACTGCTGGGGAGAAGAGGGAGGAAGGACCCACTGGGGTGAGGGGCTACCAAGGATAAGGAAACCCCCTGGTGGGGCACTGCTCAAGGGCCTGGGGCCTCTGGTTCCATCAATGACCTCTGGGAACGGGGGGGGGGGGCAAGGCATGAGGTGCTCAGCCCTTCATCTGAACCCCTAGAACGAGCGAGAGGAGGCCCTCACCACCAATGTCTGGATAGAGATGGTAAGAGGCTCCCCTGCTGCCCTCCTGTCTACCAGTGTCCTTACCCTAAGGCCCCTGGCCCCCCAAAGCTGCTCCTGCCTCCTGGGCTCTTCTCCCATTCCTGGGCTCTGTGCAGGCGAGAGCAAAGGCCTGGCAGCCACCCTTCTCCCTGCAGCAGTGGTGTGACTATCGCCTGCGCTGGGACCCACAAAACTACGGAGGCCTGTGGGTGCTGAGGGTACCATCCACCATGGTGTGGCGGCCGGATATCGTGCTGGAGAACAAGTGAGCAGGGGACATGGGCAGGGGTGGGGGACAAAGGATGCCAGGCCAGGGCCCAGCCGAACAAGAAAATTACGGAAAAAGAGACAAGGGGTGAGGTGGGGGCAGAGCGTGCAGAGCAGGTTGCTGCAGGGGCCTGGGGAAGGACCCCATGAGCAGGCCTTGGGGCAGCCCTCTCCCTCTGCTGACATGGACTCTGACCCCAGGGCCAGCAGACCCGACCCCACACCTGACTCTGTCTTGCTGGGCCACCTCCCTGTAACCTGGGGCCAGTGACAGGATTCATCATAAGAGTGTAACAGTGTCCGATGCTATAATTGGACGAGTGTTTTGGCTGTCCCAGGAAGAAGAGAAGCAGAGATCAGGGCGGGCCCAGAGGGAGTCTGTCCGGGTTGGGGAAGTTGCTGGAGTCAGTAGTGGTTCAGGATGAGGACCTGTGAGGGGTGTGGCAGGTTGGGGTGTCGGTGTCCTCTGGCCTCCATCCACATGGGACAAAGGGCTGGATTGGGCTCTGGGGTCTCTGCTTGGGCTGTTGAGGTCTGAACCCACAGCAGTGGACTGGCCTGTGCCCACAGTGTGGACGGCGTCTTCGAGGTAGCCCTCTACTGCAATGTGCTGGTGTCCCCTGATGGCTGTATCTACTGGCTGCCACCGGCCATCTTCCGCTCTTCCTGCTCCATCTCCGTCACCTACTTCCCTTTTGACTGGCAGAACTGCTCCCTCGTCTTCCAGTGAGGCCACTGATGGGGTGGGGGAGATTCCAGGAGCTGCTCTGAGAGGTGCCTGGGCAGGGGTGGGGGACGAGTGTTCTGGAGTCCCCTAGAGGGCAGGGGCCAGGATCCGTGGCTCCCAGGACTCTGCTCATCTCAGGTAGGAAGGTGCCCAGACCTCTCACCTCCTTCATGGCCTCGGTTTCCCAGCCTGTGCCCCAAGCAGGGAAATCAACGTCTGGGGATGGGGCAGGAGGGAGGAGCAGGGTAGGCAGAAGGTGACCTGCGTGCCTGGGCACCCACAGTACCCCCACCAGGCAGGGCTGTCCCAGGAGGGAAAGCAGGCCAGGGGGTCTCTGGGTCTCAGTTCCGACTCCATAAAAGTGGGAGCAGGCCTGAGTGAGGTTGCTGTGGTTTAGACGAGTGGTCTTTTTTCAGGGAAATCTGGCAGGGAGGGTCCTCCAATAATCAGACCTGAGGGACTGGGGCTGGGGCTCAGTGGTAGAGCACCTGCCTAGCATGTGTGAGGCACTGGGTTCGATTCTCAGCACCACATATAAATAAATGAATAAAATAAAGATCCATCAACATCTTTAAAAAATTAAAAAATAATAAGAATCAGACCTGAAAGGGCCTCTCCAGGTGGACATGTATTTGCTATGTTATTGTTGCTGGCAGCAGCCAGAGGGACAAACCTGGAGTGGTCCTGGGTACTTTGGTCGGACAACCGCATGGAACAGCAGCCTCTGGCCCTTTGACTCAAACATCCTGGCTCTCCAAAAGCCCATTCTCCCCACACTCTCAGCAACCCCACAACCAGGGCTTTATGGAGAACCCAGAAGTGCAGGACTGAACTTTTTGAAGCCAAACGCCCACTGTTGCCCTCAAATGGCCAGGTCTGGACTTTGGGGGTTGACCCTTTCACCCTCTGTGCCCCCAGGTCTCAGACCTACAGCACCAGTGAGATCAACTTGCAGCTGAGTCAGGAAGGCGGCCAGACCATCGAGTGGATCTTCATTGATCCCGAGGCCTTCACAGGTAACCTCCACCCACAGGGCCCCCACCAGATGTGGCTGAGAGGGTCAAGGCCAGACCAAGGCTATGCCCTTCAGTGGAGCTCCAGATGAAAACCAGAGCAACCCACAAAGAAAGTTCCTGAAAGATCCAATGACTTCTGACTTCTTCTGTGATAATTACTCCCATTTTGGAGGGAGGGGGGTCAATACCCACTCTCCCACCCCACTGGTGTCCCCTGATGTGCCCACGCCTACTCGCCCACCTGTAGAGAACGGGGAGTGGGCCATCCAGCACCGACCAGCCAAGATGCTGCTGGACGCAGAGGCGCCAGCCGAGGAGGCAGGCCACCAGAAAGTGGTGTTCTACCTGCTCATCCAGCGCAAGCCCCTCTTCTACGTCATCAACATCATCGCCCCCTGCGTGCTCATCTCCTCTGTGGCCATCCTTATCTACTTCCTGCCTGCCAAGGGTACCTGGAACCCATGGGAGGGGAGAATGCCCCTGTCCAGCATAGGGGACCACTGGGAGGCCAGGGAAGAAGGCCCTGCCCAGGCACAGAGCAGCACCAACCATGAGGGGTGAGGGGTTCCTCTGAGGGCAGGGAGGGAGGAGGTGGGAGACCTGCTCTGAGGGCTTCTCCGTCATGGTCAGCGGGCGGCCAGAAGTGCACAGTGGCCACCAATGTGCTCCTGGCCCAGACCGTCTTCCTCTTCCTGGTGGCCAAGAAAGTACCTGAGACCTCGCAGGCAGTGCCACTCATTAGCAAGTAAGGCCAGTCCTGTCTCCTGCCCACCCTTCCCCTCCCTTCTCAAGCCCAGCTTGGCCCTCCTGCCATCCCTCCACCCCACCACCCTCTGCCAGGGGACCTGAGGAGAGGAGCCGCTTATGGTGGGGGAGTCTGTGCACAGGGTGCCTGAGGGCCACCCAGCCCCGCTCACCTGCTCCTGACAGGTACCTGACCTTCCTCATGGTGGTGACCATCCTCATTGTCGTGAATGCTGTGGTTGTGCTCAATGTATCCTTGCGGTCCCCCCATACACACTCTATGGCCCGAGGGGTTCGAAAGGTAAGGCCCCTCCCTGCCCACCCCAGCATCCTCCTGTCCAGCCATTCACATGCACTTACCTTTGTGCCCGTCCTGGTCATATTCAGCAGCAAACCCGTCCTCTATGTACCTTCAAGCACGTGCTAAAATGGATGGATGGATGGTGATGGGAGGGAGATTACATATGTGAGCTTATTTAATCTTTATAAAACCCCTATTAAGTGGATATTAGGGGCTGGGGATGTGGCTCAAGCGGTAGCGCGCTCGCCTGGCATGCATGCGGCCTGGGTTTGATCCTCAGCACCACATGCGAACAAAAATGTTGTGTTCGACGAAAACTAAAAAAAAAAAAAAAAAATTAAAATTTTAAAAAAGTGGATATTAGTATCATTTTCATTTAATAGATGAGAAAACCAAGGCTCAGAGCAGTTAAGTAGCTTATCCAAAGTCACACAGCCAGAAAACGGAGGAAGCAGTCTGATTCAGAATCTGTGTGTCCACCTGAAGCAGATGACTGAGGCTCTTGTTACACATACAGATTCCTAGGCACCCAGGCATTCTAAGCCAGAAGAGCAAGCATGGGGGACAGGAGGCAGGAATCTGTGTTTGTAACAAGCACCTTGGTGATTCTTATATGCACGAAAGTTTGAGGCCTCGGTGTCCATGTTCAGGATACAACAGCCAAGTTGTCCCAGGGCCAGGCCACTGACCCTAATATGCTGCCTCTAAGACCTAGCAGCATGAGTCTTTCTTGCAAATGTCCAGCTTTAGCTCCAAAGCTCAGCCTGGCTGTCCAAGCTGAGCTACCCAGAGCAACACCCTTTGCAGGTGTTCCTGCGGCTCTTGCCACAGCTGCTACGGATGCATGTTCGCCCACTGGCTCCACCCACTATGCAGGACACCCGCCCCAGGCTCCAGAATGGCTCCTCCTCAGGGTGGTCCATCACAACTGGGGAGGAGATGGCTCTCTGCCTGCCACGCAGTGAACTCCTCTTTCGGCAGCGACAGCGCAATGGATTGATGAAGGCAGCACTGGAGAAGCTAGGTGAGGCCCAGAGTGCCACTGGGGACACTCTTGCCCAGGGACTCCAGTTGGGGAGCCGGGTGCAGCAGATGGTGTTGGACAAGCATCCAAGCTGGGGAGAGAGGGGCTGGGGTTTCAAAGGAAAGACCAACTTCTCTACCTGTTTCTCCTCCATTTACTCTCTGATACACCCCACTGGAGAGTGACCTGACTGTCTACACTCCATCAGAGAGTAGCTGTACTCTCTCCCCATCAGAGAAAGGCCTAGAGCCAGGACAGAGCCAGGAGTTCTGTGGCAGCCTGAAACAGGCCGCCCCTGCCATCCAGGCCTGTGTGGACGCCTGCAACCTCATTGCCCGCGCCCGGCACCAGCAGACTCACTTTGACAGTGTAAGCCGGGTCAGGCTCGGACCGGTGGGGTGTCCAGGGTACATGAGAACATGAGCATGAGATGGGGGAAGGCGAATGGGGTGTCCAGGAGAGGGCAGTGGGTGGAAAAGGTGGAGCTGGCAACAGGGAGGAGGAGGGTCCTCAGGGAGAGGGACCATGGAAGAAGACAGGCTGGAGCCTGGAGGGAGGTGGGAAGCACCCCCAGAAATGGAGAATGGAGGCCCAAGGACAGAAGAGGCAGCCAGGGCAGGCTGGGTGCCACAGTCACCTCCCTCCCTGCTCCTGCCCTCAGGGGAATGAGGAGTGGTTCCTGGTGGGCCGCGTGCTGGACCGCGTCTGCTTCCTGGCCATGCTCTCACTCTTCATCTGCGGCACTACTGGCATCTTCCTCATGGCCCACTATAACCGGGTGCCCGCCCAGCCATTCCCTGGAGACCCCCGCCCCTACCTGCCCCCACCAGACTGAGTCAACCAATGGCTGTTGGACATACAGGAGTCATATTTGTGGGTCAACCTGTCTTCTCAGCTGTGCTGCACTGCTGAGGTCATGAGGACACTCTTTGGGAAGAGCTGGGGAAATAAAGAGACAGAGTTGGAGTCCTGGAGTGGTTAGGGATGATGGGCTGCGGTCAGGGTGTGTTGCTGGGGTTGGCACCCACATAATATCAGCTAGATGGCCCTGGCACTAACCATTCCTCTGCTTAGCTCACTCCTCTCTCTCCAGCAAAGCATCATCCCCCAGCATTGTGAAACCCTTTGTTTTGTTTTATATCATGCCCCAGCTGGATGATGAGTCCTCCCTGAAGGAAGGCAAATCAAGAGAGGTGTGAAGAGCCCTCTCAAAAGAAGGGTGGCAGCCCATGCCAGCTGGCATGTTGCTCCCTATTCCTGGGTGCTATAAGCACCCAACAGCCACCTGCAGCAGTGATTTTCCCCTCATGTGCTTTTTGTGTCATTGACCACAGAAGATTTCTCAGGTTGTATCATTTTTTTTTTCATTGCTAATGGTTCCTCACAACATCACAGACAGGAAAGAGTCACTATTCCCCCCTTGTGCCATATGGGCAAATTTGGGCCCAAAATGAGGGACTCCTCCAGATACTAGTGATTCAGGGAGGTTTGGAGTTCAGAATTCCTGACTCTGACCTAATCTCAGACACTCTAAGAAATAGAGTCTGTGGCCTGAAAAGTAGACTTTCTTCCCACTCTTCTCTAAAGCCAGGGCCTTTGCACTGGTTCCAAAACATGGTTAAAACAAGGAAGAGCTAAGCAGGAAGACGATTAACAAAGAGCCACTGGGCTCTGCCTTCCAGAAGGAGACCTTGATCAGACTCTCTTGGCCCCACTTATCAGGAAATAAGACCATCAGCTGTAGTCTTCCTGGGGTAGAGGCATGGCCCTGCTCTGAGCACAGAAGGGCCTGAGTTCTGCAAGTGCCCATGAGCCAGTCACTTATGCCTCTTAAGACTGCTTACCCGTCTGTAGTATAGATACAGGTGTTAGTTTCTATATTATCCTCGCCACAGGATCAGAGATGGGAGTAATAGTGATTCAAAACTGTGAAAGTGTCACCTAAAGGCGTGAAGAGGGGACCCGGGAAATAAGTCCTCCTCCAAGCCAGGTTGTTGGCTTTGGGGCTCCACGGCCAGCAGGTTCATTTTATTTACTCGATTATGTGTGTGATGTACCTGGGGCGGTCATGACCACAGGGTCTTAGGGAGTGGCGAGGAGGGGGGTGAGGCTTTCACCCAGGATACCGATAGCCGTGGGACAATCTCAGGTTCCTTACTAGTTTTGTCACCATGGTGCGACTTTCTAGCCTCTCAGGAAGGCTCAGAGAGCCGAGGATAAGCTCCAGCTCCCAGCCCACAGTCAGCACTCAGAGATGAACACTGGCTACCATTAACCGTGGGTTCCTGAGTCTGGCACCTGCCACTCCCGAATCCACACGGCAACCCGCCGAGGTGGGTCAGCTCTACTGGACAGCAGTGCCAGGGGAACTGGCCTGGGGAGGTTTAGAGAGGCACCGGGCCGCGTCGCCGCGCCGAAGGTGGAGTCGGGATTCGTACCCGACAGCGAGCGCGGAGCCCTGGCGCGGCCCACAGACGCCCCAACAGCCCTAGGGTCCGCAGCGGGCCCGCGCCTGTGCGCATCCTCCCTGGGCCGGTGCCTCGGGAAAGCTGTCCCGCTCCGGACCTGCGTGCCGACGTTCCGCTGAGCCACGTGCAACCGGAAGTGGCCGGGCCCTTGCCAGAGGGACCAGGCAGAACGGAAGTCACTCTGTGAGATAGTGGCGACCGCGGCGGCGAAAGGATGAACAACAAGTTCGACGCGTGAGTGGCGCGTGGCCGCCCCCC